CTGAGTAGACGCACTTGAGAAGAGCACATTATTATAGAAGATTCCACGATTAAGAGAACTCACCTCCGCACGTCGACCTTCTGGAGTGACTACGCAGGTAGCTGTCATCTCATTCTTTGTGAGTGTACCCGTTTTATCCGAACAAATTACTGTCACACATCCTAACGTCTCCACAGCTGGCATCTGAATAGAATTCTCGACGCAGATGGACCTGAAGCGCATGAGCAGCTCTGCCCAGTGACATCTACCACCTCACCTTCTTCACGACAGCTCGCCGTTTAGCCATTCGCATCACACCAATGGCTAGAGTAACGGCTACCACTATCGGTAGTCCCTCTGGAATCGCAGCCACTGCCAAACTAAAACAGAGTCTGATCCAGTTCCCGTTGCACACAAAAAAAGGTTCAGGTCTGACCTTACACCTATTGTAAACATATCGAGCACATTACGTCCTTGCAGTAATCCTATGACAAAGATAAGGGCAATTACACCGAACGAGTAGAATGATAGCTGCTTTCCAAGTTGATCCATACTATTTTGTAACGGCGTCTTCGGTGACTGAAAGGGGTTGAGCAATTAGTCAATACACATAGGAAAGGCCTTGAAATGAGCCGATTTGATCGAATTTTCGAATCAAGGTGACCTGTTAGGCTAATTTCTCACTCTCCGTTTCTCAAAACTCCCACAAGTTTAGCGAGTCATGGACAAAATTTGGACCACGGACGGGACTCGAACCCGCACTTTGCCATCCAAGAACCGTGCTCTTCCCCTCTACACTACCGAACCCTCTTAATGGCTTAATGGCTTTCAGAGTTTTGCCCTTTAGAGCAGATCTTACACCAATTAAGTCCTCCTACAGGAAGGAATGCCCCCGCAGAACGAGGCTTAATGCATGGAGAGTGCAGGTGCCATTATCATTACTTACCGCCCTCTCTTAGTGAAAACGTAATGTACGTATTTATGAGTAAGTTGAAACTGTACGTAAACAACAAATGACTAAACAAAACACAGATGACTTCCTTTGCCCCTGTCTATCAAACAAGTAGCAGCTTTGGCTTCTGCTTACCAGATGCTCATAGCTAAATCCCACTCGTGCCAGTAAACAAAACCCTCCCGGAAAGGTACGTCACTGAAGCAGGTCTACTAATTACGATCACCTCTTAGACGCAATCATGCCAACGCAAAGTGTGACTTTACCCGTTAGTGCTGCTTCAATAACTTCAAGCGTTTTTATAACAAATTATAAAAAATGGCGTTTCCTCTTGCGTCAAACTCTAAGCGATATTTAACCATGACGGCACGCAAATCGAGTTTTTTAAATTCATTAAATAGAAAGGGCGAGGTTAAATGCAGCGTATAACCCTATAACGGGTAATGCGTCACTTGAACACAGAACAGGCCTTTCGGTCAAAGTCGAAAAGCTCGAGCTGGCTATTTATCAAAAGCAAGATACTCGTCAACTTTGAAGAAGATCAGGACCTTTTCTTTGATGAAGGGCTATCAGTTTCCCATGAGGTAGGCCAAGCTTCATTGGAACATCTCTATTATCCGTATAACTCTATTCAACTTACATTTGAAATAACCAGCTCATTCTATATTATTAAAACATGGGCATCTCTATCATCCGATATAGGAAAAAATGATTACCTACCTCTTCGCCTTGCATCATCCGGAACACTTCGCCAAACTGCGAGTTCGTTGCCGTCGAGATTACCAAACCCTAAAAGAACTGATTCTGATATGAAATCTTTACACTAAATACTAAATACTAACAAAATTAGGAATAAGAGTGGGATCGATAGAAATTATTTGAAGTCCATTGGAGTTGGTAAATCCTGATTTGGGATGCACTTTCCCCAAAACCCCCTTGCACGCCGATCGTAGTGGCGTATTTGAGCCAATGAGTGGCCTGTACAGTGACCAGACGATGTAAGCAAGCGCTTGCCTTGTCCCAGTCAAGTCTGGTACCAGTTAACCGTTCCCGGAAAGATGGGAAACTCGCTTGAGCAGAGCGGGAATCAATCTGGGATATGTCCACAGATCATGGTGATAGTGCGTAATTCCTCACTGAATCACCCACAAGGATTTTTCTCAAAATCATCGAATCTTTGCACATATTAAGCCCCAGATTCATCGCGATATTTGCATATCATTCTGCTCAAGAAAAAAAGTTCCTTCATCTCTGTCCCATGTTCACAGAAGTAATAACCTCGCCTTAATCCTGAAAGACATCTCATAAAGCAAGAGTTATAATCACAAAACTCACCCTGCCTCTTCCACTGCAAACCAGGGTGCCCATGAAGGCAATGTTCATCATATGATCAACATGGCCACCACTATCGTAGGCTTCAATCGCTCCCGTTTCCTGAAAATCATGTTTGTAGACGGTCTACGTTGGCTGAAAATTTTCTGCTCTCCAATCTCATTTTTATAATCCAATCGTTAAAACAGCTATAACATCGCCACTTAAAATGAGCAACAAACGACCATTTCGTGAAATTTATGACGGTGTCCTTTTCCTGAGCTCTTCATGGCCTAATAAAATAAATGAAACACGCTTTCGAGGGAAAAAAATCATATGATATCAGTCGGCTAGACATTCTGTTTAAGCTCCATGCACCGCCTGACATTAAGGATCGGAGCAAATAAGAATGTTCGCTCCAGAAAATAAAAAAAAATCATTATCGTTATTTTTCATTACTCTATCATTCATACAGGCGGATGGAACGGAATGCCTTAATAAAATTGCACAAATTGCACGACGGCCTCGTCTTTCACCTTGTGTTTGGGTTCAGTCTCTCCAGTCAATGAGCTTTCATCGATTTGAAGAGAAAACGCTTCCAGAAGGCGAACGTCAGCCGGCACTCGGTCGCCCGTGTTCAACAGGACCACATCCCCTGGCACCAATTCGCGAGCCAGTAATGAATGTTCCTTGCCATCACGTACTCTGAAAGGCGACTCCGATCAAATGGAAACACTCGGCAAAAGAAAGATCCCAAGAAAATCGCGATCCAAAAAAGACTTACACGTGGCATGCAGGTGGCACCAGTTTATTCAGCTGCTCGAGAGTTTTTTCAGATCGATACTCCTGTAGAAAAGCGTATGATGAAAAAAGATTCTTCTCAAAAAGCTTCAAAAGCCTATTTCAGTTGAAATTTTGATACATCTACAGTACCTGCACAAAGCCTACTGTAACTACAATAACTACAGCTACAGTAATACTAATAGCGTCGTCAAATTGTCGCATAAGAAGAGATACGATGGCGCTGGCAAGCAGCAGGAGAATCAGAGGATTTTGGAACTGCAAGAAAACAGCTTAAGGGATATCTCCCAAAGAAAGAAAAACTTTGAAGAGCTGGTAAAGAAGCATACCTGTTCAGTGTATTTCTTCCATAATGGTTCCTGTTCTGTCACTTCAAATTCATTGTACCCGTGATATTGCCTCCGTAACGTTGCCTCGGCCGATGATATTCCAGATGTCGCATCGGAACGTAGCATATGGACACAGTGCTGAAGAAAAAAAATGAGGGTCCCAAAGTAAGCAAAAACGTGGGTAAAAATCGATGAAAAACAAGAAACTTACCAAGAACTCATGAGCGGAAGCATTTTCTGCGGTTAAGGTTTCAATCATGATGTCCTTATTTGTATTTGACGATAGTGTTGGCGCCTGTGTTGAAGGTTTACTGACCTAAACCAAAAAAAAAGCTAAAAGAAGAGTAGGAACAATCTCTCCACCATCTTTGCCTTCAGCGGCCAAATCAAGGAGGGAAGAAAATGTCAAGGGCGGGGGGAGGGATTGGGGAAATGTGTAAGAACTGGTAGTAAGCTAGGGGTTGCTCTACATGCATGGAGTAGGTAGTCATTCAGAAAGCTTGTCAATCAGAAGTCCAAGTGGAAATAATCCTTCCCTATAAAAGCCAACGATCTTTGCTGGGTCAGTACCCACACTCCACTCAGGAGATGGGCCGCAGAACAGAGAGAGAGGCAGCAATCTAGAAACACCGTCACCGTAGGGTCAGATCTACGTCGAGTCTAATCGAGTCTCCATTTTTGGGGATTGTTTCAGTGACATCCGAGCTCTATGAGCAGAAAATACTATTGTCATCATAAGTCAGTGAGTCCTTCGCTGACTGCTGAATACACATCCAAATCCCTCCATAACTTGTTGTAAGAGGAAAATTTCCGCTGGATCCAAGGGATTAGTGTACGCAAAGCAATTATATCTCTCAATACAGACAGACTTCGGGATAGACTGTATTGATTCAAGTCGAGTCATCCCTCTATCATCAATACCGCCACATCTAGTGAACTTGTGAAAACTAAGTGCAGCCGGTATAAAACCATCTTTCTATAGTAATGTAAAGGCTGACAAATTGGATCCATCATGGAGAAAACAGTTCTCTGTGAAAGGTATTGCATACAGAAATGTTTTCCTCATTATGGATCAACCCCGAAAATGACTCAACGTTCAAAAAAAATGAATCACAAAGTTGGCAGGATTCCAAATTCATAGTAAATTTATGAAAGGAACAAATGAACAAAAACTCTTACCTTACCCACACCGTTGCCTTCAACGCGGAAGACGGCCGATCGCGGGCGAGCCGCCTCTTTGTCCTGAATGAAGACATGAGATTAGTATTAATGAAAAGCTCACTGAAAGACGTCCTTCATGCACCTACTCATATCACACTTGTCATTTTGTGTCATTCGTGTCTGAGAAAGGGCTACTCGCCTAAAACAAAAACCGGTTGGACCGTAGCGGGTGCACAGGGCATTCTGCACCACTTATACTGCCCTGACTCCCCCCTCTTGATGATGTTCTCTCCAGTAAAACTCTTGCATTTCATGCATACCATTTCTTAGGCGAACTGTCGCAAAGAGCAGGTTTTTTTACTAGATAGGACAATCAACAAGATCCAAGATTAAATCACAAAACAAATGACCGATACGAGCATCTCGCCACAGTTCTACTCCGAAGTGATTCCCCTTAAAAAAAAATCCAAAGCCTTTGGCTCTCGAACAACTCACATCACCAGAAAAACTGTAATAGTTCTGTTGCAAATCAAAAAATACCGCCTTGCTTCGAAAAACGCGATTCACCTATTGAGTCAAAGTGCGCGACTCTAGATCTCACCCTCCCACACCGCTGATGCTCTTACCAACGCTTTTCGTTTCTGATACTTCACGGTCACTATCACTACCGAGAATATCAGAACGTATTAACTGATAAGAGGGCAGTGTTGACTCCGCTTTGCCGGAAACGAGCGCATCAGCTGCAGTT